GTTGGGGTTTCAGATGCTTTGGTATCCACATATCTAAATAATAGTAGTTATTTTGCTTCTAGCTTTCTCTAATGTTATTTGGTTTTGAGAGCTAATGGTATTTCTATTTTATTCAACAGTAAACATCAGTTTCACTAAATCGTTAGGGTTGTGTCCTAGAGTTATAAAAGTATTGATTTTTATGTAAACCAGCAGAAAATGCTAACAAATCATATAAAATGTTTGATAGTTTATTGGGGCTTTTCTGATAGCCACTTTACTTTCGGCAGGCAGCATAAAGATTGGAGATATCGGGTTAGGGGTGGGTTGAAAGAGCAACTGGGAGGGGAGGAGTGATGATAAATGCCTTGACATTCTTTCACACTAAATAAGAAGTTATGTCATGTTCACAATGCTAAAGGGTGACAGAAATGTTGTGCAGCTTAAATGATTAGTTGGGGGCTTGTGTTCCTAGATTATATGATTTAGTAGCCATGCATTGGGTTTTACTACACACAATGTACTTTGAAAAGTCAACCAATAAAAAGAAAACGTAGAATAACTGACACTTTTGGCTATAGCTTCTATTTCATTATGCCTAGTAACTTTAAAAATACAGAAGCACAAGTGTTAAAATGAAGAAGTTATATATGGGGAACGCTGAAATACTCCTACTATTTTAGAAAATTAAGTTCACAGTATCTACTGTGGGAATTCAATAAAACTTTTGGCCTTCAATATAAGAAAGACCATAAATCAATGAAGTTTAAATAGTTCTGCTCTCTTGAACACCTGCTTATCTGTCTTGAGAAAATTCTGTAGTGTTTTAACCATCATTTTATGACATTAAAAAGTAATGCTCACTATTGCAGTACTTGGAAAGGCTATTAAAGTTAAGGGTATGTCAGCCATTCCATTATAAACCCTGATTTCCAGGAGTTTAATATAACCCAGACATCGCATGTAATAAACCTTAATGCAGGAATCTGAAACTTGGATCATTATTTTCTCTGTTTAAAGGCCAATTGCCCCACAAAGACTGTCTCTAGCCATGGCAAATATCTTTAAGATAAGTTATAATTTTAAAAATTCACCAAATGCTATTTTTTTCCTTCCTGTGATAGTTTAGCTCTAATTTAAGATAAGCACTCAGAAAGGAAGGCTGTGTGTAAAATAGCTTTTGAATGAAGTTAATCTACGTGCTTGCAGAGGAGCCCCGCCCCCTACCCCCAACAGAATTTTGTGCTTCTTCCCACAGAGAAGAACATTTTGGTCCATAAATATGGTACATTTTCTACAGTTGCTGAAACAAATTACCACAAACTTAATTGCTTACAACACGATAAATTTGTCCTCTTGAGGTTCTGGAAGTCGGAAGTCTGAAATCAGTTTCACTGGACTAATGTCAAAAGTGTCAGCAGGGCTGGTTCCTTCTGGAGGCTCTGAGGGGAGAATAGGTTTCCTTGCCTTTTTCAGCTCCTAGTAGCTGCCTCTGTTCCTTGGCTTAAGGTCCCTTCCTCCATCTCCAAAGCACATCAATCCAATCTCTGCTTCCATTAGAGGATAATGGAGTAATAAGCATTTCATGGGGAGATAGTATGAAAAATATCTTTAATTGACTAGGGTATGAACTCTTACAGATCCTGAGTGATAATGCTGGAGGAGAATGAAAGGGAAACGTCAGAACTTGGCATGCCTCAAAAGCTGGACGTGGACTTCACTTTTCTTCAGCATTGTGAATTAATTGCAAGAAAAACCCTCAGAGGGAATGTATATGTACTATATAAATATTTAAATTTTATTGGAGTATAGTTGATTTACAATGTTGTGTTAGTTTCAGGTGTACAGCAAAGTGATTCACTTATACATATACATATATTCATTGTTTTTCAGATTCTTTTCCCATATAGGTTATTACAGAATATTGAGGAGAATTCCTTGTGCTATACAGTAGGTCCTTGTTGGTTATTTTATATTTAGTATTTTATATATAGTAGTGTGTGTATGTTAATCCCAAGTTCCTAATTTATCTCTCCCCGCCATGTTTCCCCTTTGGTAACCATAAGTTTTTTTTGAAGTCTGTGAATCTGTTTTATAAATAAGTACATTTGTATCATTTTTAAAAATCAGATTCCACATATGAGTGATATCATATGATATTTATCTTTCTCTGTCTGACTTACTTCACTTAGTATGATAATCTCTAGGTCTATCTATGTTGCTGCAAATGGCATTATTTCATTCTTTTTTATGGATGAATATTCCATTATATATATTTTTTAAAAATTTTTTTATTAATTTTTATTGGAGTATGGTTGCTTTGTAATGTTGTGTTAGCCTCCACTGCACAACAAAATAAATCAGCCATACACATACAGATATCCCCTCCCTTTTGGACTTCCCTCCCATTTAGGTTACCACAGTGCATTAGGTAGAGTTCCCTGTGCTATACAGTATGTTCCCATCAGTTGTCTGTTTTATACATAGTATCAATAATGTATATGTGTCAATCCCAGTCTCCCAATTCCTCCTTCCCCCTCCCCTTTCCCTCTTCGTATCCATACATTTGTTCTCTATGTCTATGTCTCTATTTCTGCTTTGCAAATAAGATCATCTATACCATTTTTCTAGATTCCACATATATGTGTTATTGTACGATATTTGCTTTTCTTCTCTGACTTCCTTCACTGTCTATTACATTCTCTAGGTCCATCCATGTCTCTACAAATGACCCAATTTCGTTCCTTTTTTATGGCTGAGTAATATTCCATTGTATATATGTACTACATCTTCTTTATCCATTCCTCTGTTGATGGACATTTAGGTTGCTTCCATGTCCTGGCTATTGTAAATAGTGCTGCTATGAACACTGGGGTGCATGTGTTTTTTTGAATATGGTTTTCTCTGGGTACATGCCCAGTAGTGAGATTGTTGGGTCATATGGTAATTTTATTTTTAGTTTTTTAAGGAACCTCCATACTGTTTTCCATAGTGGCTGTATCAATTTACATTCCCACCAACAGTGTATGAGGGTTCCCTTTTCTCCACACCCTTTCCAGCATTTATTGTTTGTAGATTTTTTGATGATGGCCATTCTGACCAGTGTGAGGTGATACCTCATTGTAGTTTTGATTTGCATTTCTCTAATAATCAGTGATGTTGAGCATCCTTTCATCTGTTTGTTGGCCATCTGTATGTCTTCTTTGGAGAAATGTCTATTTAGGTCTTCTGCCCATTATTTGATTAGGTTGTTTGTTTTTTTGATATTGAGCTGTATGAGCTGCTTGTATATTTTGAAGATTAATCCTTTGTCCGTTGCCTCATTTGCAAATATTTTCTCCCATTCTGAGGATTGTCTTTTTGTCTTGTTTATGGTTTCCTTTGCTGTGCATTGTATATATATTTTGAAATTAAGTTTAACTTGACATGCATTTCAAAGTAAACCTGAGTTTCACATATCTGACCTACACATAGAAATGACTGACCTAGGCCCACCTGGAACTGGGAAGCAAGGAGTATGTTTTGGAGGCATGAAGAAGAAGGATGTGGAGAAACAGTTCTATTTCTTGCTGGCTGATCATCTTTGATGTCGGGCAGGCTAATATGTGGTGGTCAGCAGCCTTAATGGGTGGCATCAGAGCCCTCCTCCAAAAGTGAGAGAGTTATTTTTTGATGGATTCTGGGTGGCTAATAGTTACTAGACTTGTAATGGGAGGAGGTGCATGGAGGTAAGTGTTCTTTGACCTGTTGTATTCCTTTCTCCCTCTCTGTTACAGGATTTATTTTCCCAAAGAAATCATGTTGTAAAGAAGATTAAAAAAAGGAACTTAGGGCCCCAGACCAGCTTGCCAACATTGCACTGTTAATCCCTGGTGTAGCCAAAACATATTTTTTTTTAGGGAACAAAGTGTAAGAAGTGTAAGAACATAAGTGGTAAAAGGCAAGTGGATCAGTTCAAAAAATAAGTGCATACTAAATTAATTTCTACTTCATGATGATTTAAATGTTTTTTTTTTCTACTGAAAAATCAACCACTCTGTATTGTTGTTTCTTTGAGTAAATTATTTTCTAAAGAATGAGTAACCAATTAAAGAGCAAACTTTTGGAGGACTATGGACCTCCAAAAGTTTGGAGTCTCAGGACCAGCCTCATGCTCGATGACTCACTAGGACTCACAGGACTCAGAAAGGCTGTTATACTCATAGTTGTGATGTATTACAGAGAAAAGATACAGATCAAAATCAGCAAAGGGGAAAAGCACATGGATGATGTCCAGGAGAAACAAGGTACAAGCTTCCAGGTGTCCGCTGCTAGTGGCGTTGCATAGGGACATGCTTGATTCTCCCAGCAATGATGTGTGACAACATGTGTGAAGTGTTGCTAAATGGGGAAGTTCACCTAAGCCTTGGTGTCCAGGTATTTTACTGGGGGTCAATCACATAGGCATGTAGCACCTGTGTGACTTACCTTAGCTACTTTGTCCTCCTGCCCCCATTCCTCCCTCCCACACCCCCAGGTCAAACTGATATAGCATGGCCTAGGGCCTCAAGCCCAGAGAAAGAGGTATTCACATTTTAGTATAAACTATCTGGTTAACTGATACAGTGGGGTCCAAGACCTCAGGCACACTTCTTTTAGATAAGCTATGTTTGGTGTCATTTTTCTTTTGGAAGCATCTGTATACCAATCAAATAAGGCATTCCATTGTGACTGAGGAGTTTAAGATCTTCTCTTTTCATGGGTGCTCCTTAAGGTAGGTTTATCTAAGTCAAAGTTTCCCCAAAGTGGCCGCTGCAATTCCAAATGATCCAAAAGTTTACCCATTTTCCAAGAAAACACAATATCTTTGTCCTTAGTGGCTATACCTATAGGAAGCAGGAGTTTTTGAGGGAGGTGGAGAAAGAGTTTTTGACCAGGTGGAACCCATTTTGCCTTTAGAATTCCCTAAGACGTCTCAACTATGAGGGGCCCAGTTTTCCAACAGCTGTTCCCAACATCACGTTTTCTCCTCTTTTCAACAGAATAGGATGACTTACCAAGAAGTATCACCAAACAAAATGTGGGAATTTACAATAAAGTCAGAGAGCTCAAAACACAGAGACAGAGAGGACCTTCAAGATGGCGGAGGAGTAAGATATGGAGATCACTCCCTACCCACAAATACATCAAAAATACATCTACATGTGGAACAACTCCTACAGAACACCTACTGAATGCTGGCAGAAGACCTCAGACTTCCCAAAAGGCAAGAAACTCCCCATGTACCTGGGTAGGGCAAAAGAAAAAAGGAAAAACAGAGACAAAAGAATAGGGATGGGACCTGCACCTCTGGGAGGGAGCTGTGAAGGAGAAAAGGTTTCCACACACTAGGAAGCCCCTTCACTGGTGGAAATGGGGAATGGGCGGGAGGGGGGGGAAGCTTCAGAGCCACAGAGGCGAGCGCAGCAACAGGTGTGCAGAGGGCAAAGCGGAGAGATTCCCACACAGAGGATCTGTGTCAACCAGCACTCACCAGCCTGAGAGACTTGTCTGATCACCTGCCGTGGCAGGTGGAGGCTGGGAGTTGAGGCTTCAGCTTCAGAGGTAGGATCCCAGGGAGAGGACTGGGGTTGGCTGTGTGATCACAGCCTGAAGGGGGCTAGTGTGCCACAGCTAGCTGGGAGGGAGTCTGGGAAAAAGCCTGGAACTGCCTAAGAGTCAAGAGACCATTGTTTTGGGGTGTGTGAGGAGAGGGGATTCAGAGCACTGCATAAACGAGCTACAGAGACAGTCGTGAGCCATGGCTATCAGCGCAGACACCAGAGACAGGCATGAAACGCTAACACTCCTGCTGCAGCCACCAAGAATCTTGTGTGCAAGCACAGGTCACAGTCCACACCTCCCCACCCAGGGGTCTGTGCAGCCCGCCACTGCCAGGGTCCCGGGATCCAGGGACAACTTCCCTGGGAGAACACACGGCACGCCTCAGGCTATTGCAACATCATGCTGGCCTCTGCCGCCTCAGGCTCGCCCCACATTCTGTACCCCTTCCTCCCCCCTGGCATGAGTGAACCAGAGCCCCCGAATCAGCCTCTCCTTTAACCCCCTCCTGTCTGGGTTAAGAACAGATGCCAGAGGGTGACCTACATGCAAAGATGGGGCCAAATCCAAAGCTGAACCCCAAGAGCTGTGTGAACAAAGAAGAGAAAGGGAAATTTCTCCATGAGCCTCAGGAGCAGCGGATTAAATCTCCACAATCACCTTGATGTACCCTGCATCTGTGGAATACATGGATAGACAACGAATCATCCCAAAATTGAGGTGGTGGACTTCGGGAGCAACTGTAGACTATGGGTTTGCTTTCTCTGTCTAATTTGTTTCTAGTTTTATGTTTATCTTAGTTTAGTATTTAGAGCTTATTATCACTGGTAGATTTGTTTATTGATTTGGATACTCTCTTCCTTAATATATATATATATTTTTTTTTCTTTTTCCTTTTTGTGAGTGTGTATGCTTCTTTGTGTGATTTTGTCTGTATAGGTTTGTTTTTTATCATTTGTCCTAAGGTTCTGTCTGTCTTTCTTTTTTTAGTATAGTTTTTAGTGCTTGTTATATTGGTTGATTTCTTTATTGGTTTGGTTGCTCCCTCTCTTTTTTTTTAAGTTACTGTTTAATTATTTTATTTTAATAATATTTTTATTTTTTATTTTAATAACGTTATTTTATTATTTTTTTCCTGCTTTCATTTTTTTTCTTTTCACCCTTTTCTTCTGAGCCATGTGGCTGACAGTGTCTTGGTGCTCCGGCCAGGTGTCAGGCCTGAGTCTCTGAGGTGGGAGAGCCAAGTTCAGGACACTGGTCCACCAGAGAGCTCCCAGCCCCTCGTAATATCAGTCAGTGAGAGATCTCCCAGAGATCTCTGTCTCAACACTAAGACACAGCTCCACTCAACAACCAGGAAGCTACAGTGCTGGATACCCCATGCCAAACAACTAGCAAGACAGGAACAAAACCCCACGCATTAGCAGAGAGGCTGCCTAAAATCATAATAAGGTCACAGACACACCAAAACACAACACTGGACGTGGTCCTACCCACCAAAAAGACAAGATCCAACCTAATCCACCAGAACACAGGCAACAGAACCCTCCACCAGGAAGACTACACAAGCCACTGAACCAACCTTACCCACTGGGGGCAGACACCAAAAGCAGCGGGAACTACAAACCTGCAGCCGGTGAAGAGGAGATCACAAACACAGTAAGTTAAGCAAAATAAGACAGGGAAATATGCAGCAGATGAAGGAGCAAGGTAAAAACCCACCAGACCAAACAAATGAAGAGGAAATAGGCTGTCTACCTGAAAAAGAATTCAGAGTAATGATAGTAAAGATGATCCAAAATCTTGGAAATAGAATGGAGAAAGTAAAAGAAACGTTTAACAAGGACCTAGAGGAACTAAAGAGCAAACAAACAATGATGAACAACACAATAAATGAAATTAAAAATTCTCTAGAAGGAATCAATAGCAGAATAACTGAAGCAGAAGAACAGATAAGTGACCCGGAAGATAAAATACTGTGAATAACTGCCGCAGAGCAGAAAAAGAAAAAAGAATGAAAAGTATTGAAGACAGTCTCAGAGACCTCTGGGACAACATTAAGTGCACCAACATTCGAATTATAGGGGTCCCAGAAGAAGAAGAGAAAAAGAAAGGGACTGAGAAAATATTTGAAGAGGTTATAGTTGAAAGCTTGTCTAATATGGAAACGAAATAGTCAATCAAGTCCAGGAGGCACAGGGAGTCCCATATAGGATAAATCCAAAGAGAAACACACCAAGACACATATTAATCAAACTATCAAAAATTAAATACAAAAGAAAAATATTAAAAGCAGCAAGGGAAAAGCAACAAATAATATACAAGGGAATCCCCATAAGGTTAACAGCTGATTTTTCAGCAGAAACTCTGCAAGCCAGAAGGGAGTGGCAGGACATATTTAAAGTGATGAAAGAGAAAAACGTACAACCAAGATTACTCTACCCAGCAAGGATCTCATTCATATTTGATGGAGAAATTACAAACTTTACAGACAAGCAAAAGCTAACAGAATTCAGCACCACCAAACCACTGTTACAACAAATGCTAAAGGAACTTCTCTAGGCAGGAAACACAAGAGAAGGAAAAGACCTACAAAAACAAACCCAAAACAATTAAGACAATGGTAATAGGAACATACATATCGATAATTACCTTAAATGTAAATGGATTAAATGCTCCAACCAAAAGACATAGACTGGTTGAATGGATACAGAAACAAGACCCATATATATGCTGTCTACAAGAGACCCACTTCAGACTTAGGGACACCTTCAGATGGAAAGTGAGAGGATGGAAAAAGATATTCCATGCAAATGGAAATCAAAAGAACGCTGGAGCAGCAATTCTCCTATCAGACAAAATAGACTTTAAAAGGAAATTACAAGAGACAAAAAGGACACTACATAATGATCAAGGGATCAATCCAAGAAGAAGACATAACAATTGTAAGTACTTATGCACCCAACATAGGAGCACCTCAATACATAATGCAAATGCTAACAGCCATAAAAGGGGAAGTCAACAGTAGCACAATCATAGTAGGGGACTTTAACACCCCACTTTCACCAATGGACAGATCATCCAAAATGAAAATAAATAAGGAAACACAAGCTTTAAATGACACATTAAACAAGATGGACTTAATTGATATTATAGGACATTCCATCCAAAAACAACAGAATACACTTTCTTCTCAAGTGCTCATGGAACATTCTCCAGAATAGGTCATATCTTGGGTCACAAATCAAGCCTTGGTAAATTTAAGAAAGTTGAAACCTTATCAAGTATCTTTTCCAACCACAATTCTATAAGACTAGATATCAATTACAGGAAAAAAACTGTAAAAAATACAAACCTATGGAGGCTAAACAATACACTACTGAATAACCAAGAGATCACTGAAGATATCCAAGAGGAAATCAAAAAATACTAGAAACAAATGACAACGAAAACATGATGACCCAAAACCTATGGGGATGCAACAACAGCAGTTCTAAGAGCGCAGTTTATAGCAGTACAATCATACCTGAAGAAACAAGAAAAATCTCAAATAAACAACCTAACCATACACCTAAAGCAATTAGAGAAAGAAGAACAAAAAACTGCCAGAGTTGGCAGAAGGAAAGAAATCATAAAGATCAGATCAGAAATAAATGAAAAAGAAATGAAGGAAATAATAGCAAAGATCAATAAAACTAAAAGCTGGTTCTTTGAGAAGATAAACAAGATTGATAAACCATTAGCCAGACTCATCAAGAAAAAAGTGAGGAGACTCAAATCAACAGAATTAGAAATGAAAAAGGAGAAGTAACAACTGACACTGCAGAAATACAAAGGTTCATGAGAGATTACTACAGGCAACTGTATGCCAATAAATGGAAACCCTGGGCTCCCCTGGTGGCGCAGTGGTTGAGAGTCCGCCTGCCGATGCAGGGGACATGGGTTCGTGCCCTGGTCCAGGAAGATCCCACATGCTGTGGAGCGGCTGGGCCTGTGAGCCATGGCTGCTGAGCCTGCACATCCGGAGACTGTGCTCCGCAACGGGAGAGGCCGCAACAGTGAGAGGCCCGTGTACCGCAAAAAAAAAAGGAAACCCTGGAAGAAATGGACAAATTCTTAGAAAAGCACAACCTTCCAAGACTGAACCAGAAAGAAATTGAAAGTATAAACAGACCAATCACAAGCACTGAAATTGAGACTGTGATTAAAAATCTTCCAACAAACAAAAGCCCAGGACCAGATGGCTTCACAGGCGAATTCTATCAAACATTTAGAGAAGAGCTAACACCTGTCATTCTCAAACTCTTCCAAAATATAGCAGAGGGAGGAACACTCCCAAACTCATTCTATGAAGCCACCATCACCCTGATGACAAAACCAGACACAGATGTCAGAAAAAAAGAAAATTACAGGCCAATATCACTGATGAACATAGATGCAAAAGTCCTCAACAAAATACTAGCACACATAATCCAACAACACATTAAGAGGATGATACACCATGATCAAATGGGGTTTATCCCAGGAATGCAAGGATTCTTCAATATACGGAAA